GTGCTTTTTTTTTTTTTCTCGGGAAGTGTTTTGGGGGCTATGTTGGTGCCCCCCCTTTCGGTGCAAGCTACCACATGTGGCGTCCCGCCTGGGTCCGGAGGTCAAAGCTTGCTGACAGGGCTGCAGAATATTCCAAATGGTAGTTTCCCAAAACAGGGGGAAGCCAATATAGACCCCAAAAGCTAAAATCCTCATTTCCGGAACGCGCAAAGGGAACCCCCAGTCTTGGGAAACCCCCAGATGGTGCAGGAGCGTCAAACCTGCCAGGCTGCCACCACATGGGATGACCTCACCAATCCACTTGCAAAGCTGTCGCTGTCCACCCTGCAACTCAGCAAGAAACCATGAAGTATGTTGTTTTAAATAATCATGAAGCAGCTTTTGGTGTAATCTGCCCACAAAGGAGAGTGCTGCCGGTTGGAGAGGACAGTGCACCAAGCAAGCGCTCAAACTAGTCGGTACAGTAGTCCTTGGCGGCCGCGGAAGCGATACACATAAGTCACAGTGGATTCAAACAGCTTCTCAATTTGAGCTTGCCTTGTAAATTACGTTTTGGAATGTCACCTTCCTCACACGGTTATCTTGATAATCCGCGTTGCAGACAGCTGTCGGAAAGCTATTATATCGTTTCAGAGATCACTGCGCTTTCGTGTCTGCGTCCTCTTCATAGGCACATCTGGAGTAGGCTGGACAAGAAGGTAAAAGGTGATTGTTCATTTTCCTCAGCTTGCGCCTTGGAGGAAGCCGAACAAGCGGCAAGCAGACAGCACTGGCTCACGTTCGGGATGTCCTCCATCAAGAGGCCCAAGGCAGCCGCGGGATGACTTGGGCTTCAGAGAGCTTGCGCGCAAGTGTGTATGTTGCTGCTAGCTTTGACCTGCAGCTGTGCACATGATGCCGTGGTGCCCTGAGGCATCCTACTTGGAGATAACCTTGTCAAGGCTATTCAATGTGCTGGACCTTGAGGAAGCAGCAACAGCAATCATTGTCCATTTGGCTGACTTCGATGAGGAATGGGTCTTGAAGACAGCGGGCAGCCTCAACGAAGGATTCACAAACGAAGTTGAGGAAGGAGACTTGCACGTCATACACGCCCCGCGAGAGCTATACCCTCTGAAGCAAGCCAATCTAGAAGCCTTCAGCTTATCCGGCTTTAAACAGAAAGAGCTCAATGTCAAGTACACAAGAAGCGTTGACACATCTGCCGAGCAAGCGTCCTACGTGTCTGACGGCAAAACGCATCTTGGCAGCTCTTTCGTTGGAAGTTCACTGCAGACAGATACGGGGCAGAATCATGTGCAAAAAGCAGAATAGTATGCTGTAAAGCCCTGTATATCCCCTAAATCCCAAAGTAACCCCGATATACTCCCTATATAACCCCTAGATAATCCCTAGAATAACCTTAAACTCCAAGGCTTGAAAACCCTACCCTAACTCCCGGTTCAACCTCGCGTCACAACTACAAGTGGGAGCAGAGTTTAGGTGTATTTCTTATGGGGATTTAGTGTTTTGGATTTTGGATAGCTGGGAATGAAGGAATGGAAAAAAATGGAAACTACTGTAGGGTTCAGGTTTTAGGGCTCAGGGTTTAGGGTCCAGGGTTTTCGGGCTTAGAAGGAACGGAAAAGAAAATGGAAACCACTATAATGGGTTATATAGGGACTACTACAAGGATCCATTCCTTCATTTCGAGCTAATCAAAGGGCAGTAGCAGCCCAAATTAGGGTTTAGGTGTTTGGGCTTTGGGGTTTCGGGTTTAGGGTTTGGGTTTTAGGGTTGAGGGTTTAGGGTTTGGGTTTTAGGGTTGAGGGTTTCGGTTTGAGGATTTTGGGTGTAGGTTGCAAGGTTAAGGTTTCAGGGTCTGGGGTTTAGGGTTTGAGGGTTTAGGGTTGGGATATTACCGCCATAATGGAGAATCAAACAGAAAACAACATGGGAAACAACATAGAGCCCTAGGCCCTGGGCCCCTTCAAAGGGGTATATAGGTATATGTAGAGAGATACTACCCTAATTACGGAGAATCAAATGGACAAGAGCATGGAGCATGAAATCGAAACTGGGGTAGGAGTGGTGAAGTAATGTAGACCCGTGATTTCATAAACCGTCTCCTTTTAAGGGCCTTACTCTTAGGATCCCTATTATAATCCCTAGAGAGGGGAGCGGGTTTATTAATCACGGGTCTGCGTTACCTGATGCCAGGTACGCCCTTGTCTGGTGCACACAGACAACACGTGCCCAAGCATTTGAATAGCACGCAGTTTCAGCTGGAAGGTTGTCAAAACCCTAAACAGGGTTTACAGATTAGGGCTTAGGGTGACCCAAATGACCCTCAGTTTTAGAACCTTATGATACAAATCCTTGTATAGAATCCTAAATCCTTTGGTACCCTGTACTCGGAGCCCGAAACGGGAGCATACTCTTGACCTGAGTAGGTTGGCGGGTTCGTTTGATAGAACCCTTAGACCTCAAAATGGGTTTAGGGTTTAGGGGGGGCCGTTTAACAGAACCTTTAGACCTTGAAATCCTAACAAAGCGGTCTCTCTGGGCTAGCCACCCTTCCGTTGATACCATCATTCCGCAGGTATGAAGTACCTATAGTAAGAATAGTGTTCATAATGGTGATAGTAGTAGTGGTAAATAAGAATAACATATATATATATCATAGTGATAACAATTATAGGAAAACAAGAATAAGAAATAGTAACAATAATGATGAATGTCATGTAGGCCCTTTTTGGTATCCACCCTAGGAGTGGTTCACCGTCGCTGGGTGCTAGTTGCCAAGAAAGACCTTGAAGCGGCTCAGCGAGGCTCCCTTCGCGCAGAGAACGATGTGAGCTAAAGCCTAAACTCCTTACAGGGGGTTGTGTAGGGGATTATGGGGATTATATAGGGTTTAGGGTGTAGGGTCTTAACTCCTTACAGGGGGATTATATTGGGGACTACTTATAGGTGCCATTGAGTGGGATACTAGGAGTTTAGACTATAGCTCGTGTAGAGAGTCCCCATTTACAGTTCTCTTAATGACTCAAGTCTTGGAAAGGCCCTGGCAGATTGCAACGCAGCTAATATACTTACTTCGAAGAGCCAAGCAACAAAAAATTTGGACCGAAGCCCTGAAGCACCTGAAGCATACATGTACGGAGACTCTTTGTGAATGTGTGGAGGGCGACTAGTGTGATTCGCTGACAGGCGTAGTATACAGCCGACTTATTCAAATCCAGGTATTGAACATATTACCCCGCTTGTTCTACCGGATGTTGAACTGCGATTCGGCCCATGCACGAACCTTACAGAGGTATCCACCGTAGTATAGGAGGCCTGTTCTCCTGTTGAAAGGTCCGGGTGTGTCAAGACAGGTGCCATCCCAACTCTCTGGCTTTTAGTATTATTTGTATTACGATTATATATTTATTGCAATTACTATTACTATTATTACTACAGATTATTACTATTCCTGGCAATATTGCTATTACTATTGCCCTTACCATTTCTTCATTATTATTATTACTACTATTACTATTAATCTTGTTATTACTATTATCATTAATACTAGTGCCAGGAGATTGCAAAGCCATCGCACGAGCACCAGAAGAGCTGGAAGTGCTGGAAACCTGACTGCCAAGATTCGGGTTAAACTTGAGACTCAGGTGGCCCCAAATGTGGCATTTAGCCTGAGCGTTGGTGCACGCAAATTTCTCGAAAGGTACATCAATGTTTGAGGCCTGGTCGTAGTCAGCCCAGAATCTCCTTTACCCAACATGTATTGTCGGCGGGGGTGACGTTGCGGAAGCTGCTGGACGCAAGCCGAGGATGAAAGTGTCCGAGGATGGGAGGAGAACTTGGATGGCAAGTGGGCGCCGGCCACAGGCGCAAAGGTTTCAGAGTTGGTGTTCGAGAAGGGCGTTCTGCTAAAGTTCGGAGACAGCGCAAAGAGAACCTGGTGGAGGACCAAGCAGAATCTGGACTACACGTTCCTCATGTGGTATGCCTCTAACATGTCGGACTACTACATGCAGTTGGAGGATGATGTCCATCCTGTGCCACATTTTGCTGCTTTCGTACGCAGTGCTCTGGAAAGAACCCTCATGGGCAAACCTTGGGTCATGGCAGCCTTCTCAAACCTGGGCTTCATAGGGAAGGTCTTCAACAACTCTCACCTTCCTAGCTTGGCGCAGTTTCTGCTTACCTACAGCTGCTTGGCATCAAGAGCCTCCGTCTGGTGTTTCTCAATGATACCAGGGAATATCAGCTAGCAGCTAATGATGGCAGCAGGACAAGACGCCAGAAACTAATGACTAGCGACAGCGATAAGTACTTATGCAAGGCAAGAAACGCTGGATCATGAGCGTACGGAGACTTCTCACAGGGTTTGGTGACATGGTAACCGAAGTAGATTGCATCTTGTGCATTTCCATGTTTACCTTGTCATTGTTGTGTTCATGACTTACACGGGCTGGTGCGTGTTGTAGGGTTGAAGTCTAAACCCTCAACCCCTGTAAATCCCTATATATACATATATATAACCCTATAAACCCCTATATAACCCCTATCAAATCCCCTTAATGTGCGAGCAATGCCCCAGGCGCTGAAGCTCCATGTGATTGGCTAGTGTGGGTTTGGATCGATGCTTGGAGCCCAACACCAGCAACTTGGGCGGATTTATAGGGATTATGGGGTTGTATAGTTCTATTATATATATATGGGTTATGGGAGCTATATATAGGCATCATACGGGGACTTATAGGGGTATAGTTCTACTATATATGTATACATGGGTTATGGGAGCTATATATAGGGATTTATAGGGGTATATCGGGATTCAAGCAAGAATGGCTTCGCTCTTGTTTTCCTGACCTATTGACGCTTGTGTGGAGCGTAGTTTGACAGGACGGGAAAGCTGACAGCTGGGGCACATGTGAGCCATACTCTAAACTTCTATTATACAGCAGAGTATTGTATGGATTGTTAAGGGAGATACTAACAGTTTAGACTATGGCTCATACCAGTATTTTGCCAGGGATATGTTGATATTCCCCTAAACCCTAAACCCTAAACCCTAAACCCTAAACCTACCCTTGAAAAAGGTGAGCCTGGATTTGGCCAAGAATCTGGAGACAGATGCGACAAAGAAGGCAGATGCCACGAAAAAAGGAGCAGATGCTGTCAAGAAGCTTGGGAAACTGCGGGATGCACCCTGGTTTCAACATGGGATTTATGAGCTATAGTCTAAACTCCTTAAAGAGGGATTTTGTGGGGAAGTATATAGGAGATTCTTACAGGGGTTATGAAGGGGGATACTAGGAGTTTAGACTATAGTTCATATAGGAAGATATAGGGATGTATGAGGGCAATGGAAAAGTGAATGGAAAAAGCTATTTAGGGTTTAGGGTTGGTTGACATGTGCAAGTAAGATGTGAGCTCTTCTTGGTTTCAGCTCAAATTAGTAATATTTAATTTGGGGATACTATGGTACCCAATATAGAGTAAGATTATATCCTCGTTTTGGTTATAGTCTTTCTATATAAGGAATACGATCTTACTAGGTTCAACCACCAAAAAAACACTACTCAACACCCCCATATAGACCCCAAAATGTTATAGTCCTTATTATGGGGACCCCCAAAAAGGTACCCATAATTTTGGGAAGCCCCCACATAGGGCTTAAGGCTTAAGGATGTTCAAAGTGCCCCAGGGCACGTTTGTATGGCGGT